GGCACCTGAACTGAGATCTCAAGTAACCTTGCAAACTTCGAAAGTATGCCAGGTTCTATTCGTGTGAGGCCTAGATACAATAAGATTCGCCATGGTGGGACCCAAAATTACAGTAAGAACTTTTTGAGAAGCTCGATACAGCTCATTTTGTCACCAACTGAAGGAACTATGCTAAAAACTTTTTCCTGGTGACTTTAAACCAATGCGAGGAAGTTTGGGGTCGTTCGAATTTTGTGGGAAAAAGTTGGACTATGGACACTTAACTCGAGTCTTTGGCGTGACTTGTAGCGACCCATTCACCCACATACTTGACTGTTCAGCCCACAGTCGTTCACTGGGTCACGAGACTTGTCTCTTTCTCATGCTCACAACCACCTCACATTAAGGTGACTCATCAGAAGTCGATTGTCTGCACCGTCTAGTGAGCGTACCAACCACTCACGTGCTGACGCGCCCACGTACGCGCAAACGGACCTACATATAGGGAAACCGAACCCAGTCAGCACACAGACTCGCGCGCGCGCAGGGAGCAAGGATCAGCTAAACACTCAGAGTCCACGGACAATTATAGACTACGTGTAGCAACCAAGCTACGGAGAAAGCACGTTCTAGCCGTCCGGACTTTCACCAAGGTAACCTCAAAGACGATAAGTTCCCTTTTTGACTTGCTCCTATTTCGCATTACATTTATTTTTATACGTGTTGCAACCTACCATTGTTAACCTTAGTAAAAACTTTTATTAGTGCACATTCACCTTCTGATTTGTATTATGGCTATCATCACCTGTGAACTAATAGACTCTCCTCGAGGTAGGAGTGAAAAGCCATCTAAAGAAGACATCGATTATTGTGGATTTTCGAAAATACGTGGTGGTGGGACGTGACCGGTAAGGAGTCACGTTTTCCCAAAGTAGTATATATACTACGTTAGAATTTTAAGCGACTGCCTTCTTCCAGTTGAAATAGAAACTGGCCAACACTCTCGACTGATCGCTTACCAGACAGTTGTAAGCGGAAATCCGTCTTTCTAAGCCATCGGTTGTACTGGCTACGTACGCCCACAACTAACCTTCACTAGAAGTTACGTGCAACCCACCCGAATAACATCAGCGTGTAAAAGAACATTCTTGCAAAAAACCCGAAGTGCCCATATCAAATTTTCGACGGATTCCTCTAATTCGGGCTACTGTACGCTTTCTCCTCGCACAGTACACTTATATCACAAATTTGGAGTGTCATCCGCCCATCTGGTGTCCTGGGGACTGGATACTATAGTGTAATTTCAAGTGATATCTGGGATTTCTATTACTCTGTGTCCCATTAGGCATGTACCACAGATTATAATCTCCTTTCTCTTAGAAAGTCTCATATACTTGGAGGTCCAACAGAACTACCATTACAACACGTCTTGAAAGTTGAACATAGTACTCTCCGTGACGAGATCAGTTGCTTGACTTCGATAAGCGATACATTAAGGTGTAATCACAGATGAGGTTAACCGTTTCACGTAGAAGAAGTGGTAGACAGTGAACGATGTTCATACCGTAGAGGTAGTATTCTGCAAAGGATATCACTTTCATGTTTCCCCACTGTGTCTCCCAATCATGATATGTTTGAAAGTTCAGTAGCTGTCGATGTTCCATCGTCATATTTCTCGGTGTAGTAAATATCGTTTGACCGAACAATTAGTCAGGTATCTACGACAAGAGTATTCTTGTCTATTGTTTACAGAGGGTTTCTTATCAAGTAATGTATGCAAGCCGCTGTACATAAGTCTGCAAGCTGTAAAGCTACAAAACATCCGAATTCATGAAACCTTCAAGTCAAGTACAGCTGGACAGGAAATTGTTTTGCCCGCGCACCGATCCAGCAAAATCATCCGGCTTTCCCACCCCCCTCAAAGTGGTAGGACAGGTGCTTCTTCTTAAGTTTTGTGAACCACAGTCGTTTCACGAACCTTACAGTGCATAAAACTTTCTCGTACGGTAAAGATTTCGGCCAGAAAACATTCATTTATTCGACGTCTTACGTTTTTGAGGCCATGAGAGAGACGATGAAGGCAGTGAAAGGTACACAACAGGCATATCTGATTGAATACGTCAGTCAATCATTTCAAAGAATTCCAATGCACCTAACTTCGGCCGCCTTCAGAGCTATGGTCGTGCATACACGAAGATTACGAAAATGTATATCCGCTGAGCAAGCGAGATGCACACAATCTTTTAGGATTTTTTAAGCTCCTAAGTTTCATTGGTGTAGGAAAGACAGTGTGCATGCCTGCCGAATAGGCGGGATTATACGCTCAAACTGCATCGACTCAGGTTGACTTTCACTCCAAATTATGCACTTGATAGGTCCAAAATACGGACGCTTTAAATCGATCTTCCGGCTTTCACATCTCTCAGTGGATGCAATATTGATTATAACGGTGAGTTATGCCTGTGCACAACTGAGATGTGGCTGACTGCATCGATCAATGAAGTGCCGAGATTATGGAGAGCACTATATAGGGCTATCTTGTCCATTCATCGCCATTAGCAACAGAGAAGTTTGTCACTTCATCACGGTATTGGAAATCCGCGTGTCTGTGCTTGTGTGAGGTTGCTGGAGTCAGAATAGTTTGTCCTATAGCAGAGGTAAACATGTCCAGACAGTAATCGCCCTAGAGATTTCATCAAATCTCGCAGTTTACTTGGCCCACAAAGACCCAGAAGTGGGAAATTTCGGGCACCCAGCGAGGCATGATGGAGTTCGAAAAACTGCAGAAAAACCTCTTACATTAACAAGATGATGTGCGCAAGGGAGCAGTCAAAACGGATTAATTGAACCGTTTTGATTTGTTGCCCGATTCCGAGAGGGACTGGATTCATGAAAAAAGAACTACTCTTGTATCATTATCGTACTTTATTTGTTTTCCAAAAAATGTCAGGGAATCTGAGGGATGCTAGAATGAATGCAATTTTCCCAGATAGGGTGGTGATGCCATCATAAAATGGGGGAGTGACCATTCTGTGACGGCATACATCATTTTGCATTCAGCAATAAGGTCGTCATACAGTGCGTTAAACTGATTGATGTGAAGAACCACAAATTAGCTGAACAAAAAAATTTCGGCCGGATGATGTTCGGGTTTTGTCACCGGTTACATACATCCTCTGAGCGCTCTTTCAGAATCATCACGTTCAATATCCAACTCTGTGTAAACTTCTAGGGCTGTTTGTCTTTTAACCCATTGGTGTATCGTGTAAATGAACAGAAGAATATCCAGGCTCTGGCTATATTGTGCGGGTCGTTCGAAACTAAGTCAAAGAAGTTGGGTTTGAATCAAGTCATGTACAGGTAAACAAGCAAACGGGTAACAGCTTACGCCCAAAATGGGGCCGCCATTGAAGCAAATCACCCGGACAATAGGGAGGAGCCAATTAAAGAATTGGGAGACAGTGAAGAGGCGAAGATGTGACGTAAATGATTTAATAATATACAAAGCCTACGGGCAATTGATACCGAGAATCAATAGAAGTTACATAAACAAAACACATACAATTTATTCCCAATTATAAAAAAGAAAAAGAAAAATGCAACAATCTCGGTGAGGTTACAGACCGATTTCGAAGTGATCGCCTCGAGAGATTACCAGAAAAATTGCAGTTTAAGTGGTGGAAGAAGTTTAGCTTTTGAGACAAAAGTTCGCCAGACCAACTGAGGAAAGAAATAACAACTTCAAATATTCCAGGAAAAAAAACACACACACAACAAACAAACATAATACGCGACAAACCGATCAAACAGGATGCGCAAAACAATCCGCCGCAAACTCCCGCCTAATGCATGTGTGCGTATGTGGAGTCAGTCACGTTGTCCAAGGACACTAACCCCAAACGGTCTCGCGTGCCGTCTGAACGCCCACTGACCAATCAACGGTCGCAATTCCGCACGCAACGCACAATCACACGGAACACCGAATAACCCTCACAAACCAAAATCATGCAAC